AGCCACTCGACGAGAAGGCCATTCATGAACCTGCTGTGGTGGATAACGTGCTGAAGGAGTTTATAGACGTTATGCCACTCGAGTTGCCGAAGACTTTACCGCTACGCAGAGGCGTGGATCATCATATCGAGCTGGAGCCAGGAGTGAAGCCTCCAACGAGACCACTATACTACATGCCCCCTCTTGAGTTGGCAGAACTCAGAAAGCAGTTAGATGAACTACTAAGCAGTGGTCTCATCCGTAGTTCTAAAGCATCATTCGGAGCTCCAGTTCTCTTCCAAAAGAAACAAGATGGGAGCCTCCGACTATACGTCGATTATCGAGCCCTCAACAAAGTGACAGTGAAGAACAAGTATCCAATCCCACTCTTCGCGAACTTATTCGACCAATTGGGCAAGGCCAAGTATTTCTCCAAACTCGACCTCCGGTCAGGATATTGGCAGGTGCGCATTGCTGAAGGCGACGAAGCGAAGACTACCTATGTGACTAGGTATGGAGCGTTTGAGTTCTTGGTGATGCCTTTCGGCTTAACCATCGCTCTGGCCACGTTCTGCACTCTTATGAACCCCAATTATTCAAAGAGTATTTGGATAAGTTTGTGGTCGTCTACTTAGACAATATCGTCGTCTACAACCAAACGCTCGAGGAGGATATCGAGCACCTTCGGATAATTTTCAAGGTTCTGAAGGAGAACACTTTGTTCGTGAAGAGGGAGAAGTGCTTCTTTGCTCAAACGAAGATCGTGTGTTTGGGGCATCGAATCGGTGATGGCTCCATTCGGATGGACCAATCAAAGGTGCAAACAATTGCGGAATGGCGAACTCCAAAGAAGGTGCTAGAGTTGAGATCCTTCCTTGGTTTCGTCAACTACTATCGACGCTTCATAGCGGGGTATTCGAAGCGTGCAACTCTACTGACGGAGTTACTGAAGGAGCAACCTTGGAGGCGGTCTGACAAATGTGAAGCTGCATTCCTAGATCTGAAGGCTGCTGTGTTGGAAGAACCGGTGCTCAAGTTGTCGGACTATGGGGAGCCCTTCGAAGTCCATACAAATGTTTCAAACTTCGCTATTGGGGGAGTACTCATGCAGGAGGGTCATCCGGTGGCCTACGAGAGCCGCAAGCTCAACGAGATCGAGCGGCGGTATCCGGTGCATGAGAAGGAGATGACAGCGGTGGTCCACTATCTACGAGTTTGGTGGCACTACCTTCTGGGATCGCGATTTGTGTTGAGGACAAACAACATCGCTTTGAGCTATTTCTAAACTCAGAAGAAACTCTCCCCAAAGCAAGCACAATGACAGGACTTCCTGGCTGAGTTTGATATGACAATGGAGTACAAGCCCGGAAAAGCAAATGTCGTGGTCGATGCATTGAGCCTGAAGGTGGAGCGAGTAAACGCCATACAATTGGAGGGCAGAGGCCAAGCAAGTCAGTTGCACTCCAACTTCCTTTCTAGGATCAGGGATGGACTGTATAGTGATCCCCAGGCAGTAACCCTATTGCAGCTCATCAAAGAAGGCAAGACATGACGATTTTGGGTCCAGGAGGGACTCGTTTACACGAAAGAGAATAGGGTTTATGTTTCTCGAGTGGACAATTTGAGGCGTGAACTCTTAAGAGAGTGTCACAATTCCCTTTGGGTTGGACATCCGAGCATTCATAGAACCTTGGCTCTCGTGGAGAGGGCCTTCTACTAGCCGAAGATGGGGACAGATGTGGAGGAGTATGTTCGAATGTGCCTCACTTGCCAACAAGACAAGGTGGAGCAGCGGAAGCCGGTGGGGCTTTTGGAGCCGTTGCCCATACCAGAAAGGCCGTGAGAGATCATTTCCTTGGACTTCATATTAAGCTTGCCGATAGTAGGGGGACTGGGATCGATACTCGTAGTGGTCGATCGATTTTCAAAGTTTGCAACTTTCATTGCTGCGCCCCTACACCGTTCAGCAGAGGAGGCGGCCAAGCTGACGATGAAGAATGTGGTGAAGTATTGGGGAGTCCTGCACAATATTATCAGTGATTGAGACGCTCGGTTCCTAGGACGATTCTGGACTGAGCTATTCAAATTGTTGGGGTCTAAGTTATACTTCTCCACAAGCCTCCACCTTCAGACAGATGGCCAAACCGAAAGGATAAACTCGCTCCTGGAGCAATATCTTCGGCACTACGTGAGTGCCAACCAATGAGATTGGGTGAAGCTGTTGGACATGGCCCAATTCTCCTACAACTTGCAGTGGAGCTCTGCGTCCAACAAGAGCCCCTTAGAGATCATTACAGGACAATAACCGTCGACTCCTCACACCCTAGCTATTGGATACACTGGGAGTAGTCCGTCAGCATATCACTTTGCTAAAGAATGACATCGAAATACAGATATTGCACGGACTTACTTGGAAAAGGCGACTAAAAAGATGAAGAAGTAGGTCGACTTCGGAAGGCGACCGCAAGAGTTCAAAGTCGGCGATTTGGTGTTGGTGAAGCTCCAATCAGCATCACTCCAATTCTTTAGGAACAAAGTACACAAAGGATTGGTGCGCAAGTATGAAGGGCCCTTCCTAATTATCAATAGGGTGGGCAACGTCTCCTACAGGTTGCAGTTGTCGGCGTGGCTCAAAATTCATAATGTTTTTCACACTAGCAACTTGAAAGCCTTCCATTCAGATCCATAAGATGCTTCCCGAAGTGTTCTAACTCGGCTACCCCCCACCAGAGCCTCCTACGAGAAGCGAGTTGAAACCATTCTAGCGGATCGCAAGATAAAGCTACCCAATGGAGCTGAGTAGACCGAGTACTTGGTGAAGTGGCGAAAGCTTCCCTGAACTGAAGCCAGTTGGGAGCCCGAAGACGCCCTACGACATGAAGAAGCAATTATCAACAACTACCAACAAGCGTCGACGAGGGCGTCGACAGTTTAAGTGGGGGAGAATGTCACGAACGGTCGTCACGCACTCGCAACAACTTCGTTCAACGAACCGTTCATCGCTTTTGCATACTTAAACAGAGACATGGTAGCCTGTTTTGCCTTGGTTTTGTGTATTTTTGCTTGTAAAATTACATGTTCGAACAGGTTGTAGTGCACAGTGCGACTGCTCACCGCTCCCGGCCAAAATACCCCAAAATGGCTCCATTTTCGTGTGCCGCGGGCTGTTTTCTGCAACCCGATGCAGCGCGCGAAATGTTAGCCATCTCAGCACCCTGGAACCCCCTGGGTGGCACAGGGCTGGATGGGGCTTCGGTATATTGTCGGGCGTTGAACAATCTTCACAAGTTCACATGTTTTCTTAACGGGAACTTGCCTTCGCGCCCGACACTCGGTGAGCAGTTGTTTGTGGACTTGCAGTTGTTCGTTCAACCTGCTAAAGTCCTTGTTTTCCTTATTTCTCTGTTTTCTCTCATGCACGAGATGCTCGTTGAATTGCTTGTAAAACTTCCCTCTTCGTGAGACGTCGGGACTTGTCTGTCGCTCGTTCTTCGAACTAATCAACTTTCTCTTTTACAGGTACTTTGGGACCTGAGTGAGGTTGCAAATTGGCTAACCTTTGTGGACGCATATCGCAAGGGTGCGTCAAGACTTAGGTAATCCCCGCTAAGTCCGAGAAGTTGGTACAAGGGTGCTTTGCGACTTAGGCAACACAAGTTAAGTTCGCGTCTTGGCCGCAAAGGTGCCTCACGACTTAGGCAATTCTAGCTAAGTCTGTGATAGTGAGGTCACAAATGGTCCAAGTTGTCAAGGGTGTTTTCGTAGTTCATGGGCATAGGCTTCTTGTTGACATGGTTGTCAGTTACTGAGGTTGCTTCATAAATTGGTGTAAATGCCACTACCTGTGCACTAATCATAATCTGTATACTTGTGTGAGTCGTTCTCACTATTGCAGCATTTTATATGTTTTCTGTACAAATAAACTTCTCAATTTCTTCATAATATATTTCTGTAAGTGTGTATATATATATAGTGATTTCTCAGAGGAACCACTTGCCTTTGATTTAAAGAAGCCTAATCAGACATTTGGAAATTGGAGAATGTCATTCTTGTGGTGTTATTTAACTTTCCATACATATTAATAATAATAACCAAGGTCTTCAATTTCGAATAATACCGTCCGTATCAGGCGGTACGTATCGGTCCGCCAACAGACTAGTACATGGACTATATATATATATATATATATATATATAAAGGCGATGTTGCCCTGCGTGGGGAGAAAAGAGGCGATGTCGCAGATTTTTTTTTACTTTTATATAGAAATATATATAAGATTTTTTTACTTATATATATATATATATATGTATATATATACCGAGCTGTATACTGAAATATACCGCTCGGTATACAGTATCGTATCGTACCGAGCGTATTTCGAAACTCCGGTACGGTACGATATTTCAATCCTTAATAATAACATCCCCAATTCCTCATTAATCCAAGCTTTTAACTAGCAGGGTCAACTTATCTAGCATAATAGCAGATTGTGGCACATTTGACATTGTACTTTATTGTGTTCACATGCACACATCATATGCTGGATTTTGTTGCTTGAGTGTTTGTTAAGTATTAAGAATTGAAAATTACTTTTGCTTGAATGTCAGTTTCATAAAGTTTGTATCTCAGATATGAACCATATTTTGAGCACAAAACTTACGAATTGAAAATTACTTTTGCTTGAATGTCAGTTTCATAAAGTTTGTATCTCAGATATGAACCATATTTTGAGCACAAAATTAATTTATACTTGTTTCCAGAATGTGCAATCAACCGCTTGAGCTCAATTTCTAGTAGTGATGGCACCTACGACATAATATACACCTTTGCATAAACAACTGTGTCACAATAAATACAGCCTTTTGTTCTGATAGATTTGAAGTGTGGCAAGTCTAACCTACTTGAATGAACCTCAGTTCCTAATAGATTCATATATCAAGGATTATCAAAATCCTTGCATCAGTTAGAGGTAAAATTAAACTTTCTTGACACACTAAACTTGAACCTTTTTTCTTTTGTAGGAAGTCCCAATTGGGAATCAAGTATATCTCATGTTAGGTGCATCATTTGGCTCTTCAGCTAAAGGAACAGGGCTTAAGGCTCTTGAGTTTGCTCTATCCATCTGTGACACTGTTGATATGTATGGTTTCACCGTGGATCCAGGATACAAGGAATGGTAGAGTAGAAAGCAGAATCCTTTATTCGTGGCTTGAATTTAAACAGAGGAATATAATTCTTATTTAGCTGTAGTCATCTTTGTTTGTTTGTAGGACAAGATACTTTTCAGAGTCTAGGCTGGGGCATACTCCACTTCATGGGAGAGCATATTATCAGATGATGGAGTGTCTAGGAGTAAGTTCTTTTCTTATTTTCATACTTGTAATAGTTAAGCAGTGAAGGTCAACTTCTGAATGCCCTATTTCCCTCCTATGCAGCTTGTTAAGATCCATTCTCCAATGCGAGCCGATTTTAGTAGAGTAGTTAACTGGTTACCAAGTGAAAGCATACTTAATGCTGCTCGAACTGCATCTGAGAAAGTTCTGAGGTATCTGAAAATTATGCAGCTTACATCTGTTAAACAGCCTAAGCCTTTTCTGACAACTGGATTGATTACTTGATGTAACTCTCCAGTTGCTAAATCTTTTTATATTCTGTTTTTCTATGCATCTATGATCAATGGAAATATTCTGCATTAATTTATATGTATAATCATTGTTTTATCCAAGATATGCAATACCGTACCATACCGGTGTTTCGAAGTTGGCTCGGTACGGTACAGTACCGGCATACCGAGCGGTACATTAGGGTGTACCGAATGGTACACCAGCACTGTAGCAATGCCATAGTGTACACTGTAGCACTGTAGCATGGTCCGTCCGGTAGCGGACGGTCCGCGTACCGATAGCCTATCGGACCGGTACGTACCGCCCATACCGGGCGGTACGATTCGGTATGACAGACCTTGGTTTTACCTATGCAATTACCAATTATGATGTTATATAGCTATAAATAAGTTGATTTTTTCAATCTTATCATTGACAATTATGTCAAGCTGTGATAATCACTTTTAGTAGGTACAGTATTGGGTCTAAAATTTGCTAAAATTTGTTCATGTTGGTTCATTGGGCTAACTGCTTAACATGATTTCCAATTAACTACCATCATCATGGAAAATCAAATTGTCCAGGTCCATACATTTTCATAACTGCTGCTCCACTCAGTAGTATGTTTCAGTGATTTGTCTATTGTTTAGTTTCACTTTACACATAATGGCTGATGCTTCAAGTGCTATATTAATCTCAATAGTATCTCTTATTTTCCAATGCCTTAATTTATTTCTTTGACTCTTGATTATTAGTTCAGTCTCCAAATTGGCACAGCTAATACATCTCTTTGCCCTGATTCCTAGCAAACTCAAACATATCTTGAATTTCTTTCCTCAACAATATTGCAAGGTAAATTTAATACGTGTCTAGGCACAAAATATTCTGCAGTATATGACAATTTCTCTCATTTAATGACAGTAGTGAAAATGTTGTAATCAGAAAATGTGAAAGGATCTGATGTCCTTAAAACTATTAGAAGGATGCTGCCCTTATTAGACCTAAATGCTGTGAAGAAACCTTCAAAAACTTTTAGTTATAAATTTATATTGAACAACTCAGTGTCGTCACAGTTTCTTTCTTTATTGTATATACTTGAATGTAACAGTCCATCAAACATTGAACAATAGTGTACTCAATAGCGTGAGACAGGAATGTGGAAACCTCCACAACTAGGCTACCTTCGTCTGGTTCAAGAAAGCTTCTTCCCTCTGTGAAAGTTATAATCTTATTCTTTAATTTATTTGTTTTGACACGCTTGTACAATCAAACTATGTTGTGTGTTTTAGTTATATCAATTCTTGGGCGGACCATAATGATCAATGATAATCTCAAACCTTGTATTAAGTGGAAGATCAGTTCATTGTTTGAACCGGTTGACCTAATATATTGTATTTCTCATGGATATGGACTTTAGAGGAGTCTGCGACATGACTTGTCAGCCTTGCTTTGCACCTAAGACTTGTTGCTGGAGGACAATGGTTCTTTTCTTTTTCCAGCAAAAAAGATGTCCATGGTTGACGAGACTAAAAAGCAGATTTTGGTTGTAATACTCGAGGAACTTATTGGATGGTGGTTCTGAATTTTTTGAAAGCAATGAAACTAGAAAATGATTTTAGCTAAAAACTGGCTGTAAGTACATATATGATGATTTACCAATTATTTATGCAATTGGAGAAGAAAGAATATCTTAATGTAATGTGAAAACATTATCCTGTGAAGTGGATTAGCTGGATAAAAAAACCACTATTTCTACTGTGCATAGCAACGATGACTTTCTACCTTTTCTGATTCCAGCACTGATTGGTGAACAGAATTTTCTTGTTAGAACTTGGAAGACATGCAAGTTTAGTTATTTGAAACAGAAGATTGCATATATTAATCCTCACTGGACCCATTTGTCCTTTATGCAAGTTTAGTTATTGGAGTGCCTGCTTGATGCACCGAGAAAATAGTTTGGTTTGGTAGAAATCAGATTGTTGAATATATTTGAAGAATATGATGGGCTTGCTCAAATTTATTAATATTTCCTGGTATACATGTTAGTAACATGGTGTGCTGGCTTACTTATAAGATGAGATTCCTGATAAGTTCATGGTGTTTAATGGTGAAGATAGGGTAAAGTGGTGCAGCTTGTGATGATTATTTATTGATATTATTCAGTACTGTATTAAATGAGCTATCAGCCTGCGTTCTATTTGGGGGATAAATCCTTGGGTGAAGTCTTAATTTAAGTATTTACATCGTATAATTTTAGCAGTCATTATGGCACTTCGAAATGTAGCACATGCATGTAAAATCTCTTTAGCAAATTGTTATGCTTTTGTTGTCACCAGGAAATGGAAAACATTTCCCTGTTTTAAGTTTATCATTAATTCAAATTTTTCATGGTTTTAACCTTTAGCCTGCTTTTAAATTCTGCAACTAAGTACTATGCTCAAGCTCATTACCTGGTCCGTCCTGTTATTCTCAGGAGGATTGGAGCTGGGATGGATGACCCACTTAGTGCGTGTTCTATTATAAAGAAACGTAGCACGGGAAAGTCTCCCAGTATCTCAGGCCTAAGAGAGGCTGCTATCAACCATCAGAGATATATGAATGGTGCAACTACTTATCCTCTGGAGAAAAACACTGGAAATGGAATGCTATGTATTGTCCCAGACATATGATTGACTCGATGTCGTCATTATGGCTAAAATCAACAAAGTTCCGAGAAGGTATCACCAACCAGGTTGAAGTTGAATTCCGTACTGTTTGAAGCTGACTTGCTAGCTGCACAAGTCATGCCAAAATTTTGATCCTGCATGGAAAGTTCAAACAATTCTAGCTCGCTGGCGAATGATCTCCTCCAGGTTCCTAGTCTGATAAGAGAGCCATGTTTTGTGTTTTGATCCAGTTTAAATTCAAGGTATCTAGTTTGGCATTGTTTATTCAGTTAAAATTGCCTATTGTCATAAATAATAGGCAATTTCATCTTCTTTTTCTGTTCTTTTACTGTTCTTTTGGGTTATACTTTCTGTTGCATCTTAGAGCACAAACAATGAAATTGCATGTATTATATTTTCTTCTGTTCGATCTTTCCTTGTATTCTGAGAGCTTTCATGATCTTTGTTGAAGCAGTTGCCTAGATTTAGATTTATATTTTTCACCTTAGCATGCGGTAGAATATTGATAAGACTTGAAGCTATTGAGAGTTTATAAGCATGCATTTATACTTTAGTTCCGTGGCTATGGAACCGTCAGTTTCAGTTTCGAATTCATCAGGCTCAATTTGCTAAAACTAGTAATCGAAACCAAACTGCATAGGTTCTGATTTCGGTTGGAATTGTCAAAATTTTTTTATTTTTAATTAAAATAATATAAAATATAAAAAATAATAATTTTATTTTTAAAATTTTAAAAAATGGATGTATAACTCTAATGAGCAAAATGACATTAAAAAAAAAAGATGGTATAGAAACGATAAAATTATAAAATTTATAATCAAACTAAATTTCTCTTTTGAAAAAAAAATATATAAAAGTTTAAATCAACTTAATATCTCTCTCATGAGAAGATTTGAACTCAATTCAATTAAATTTAAATCTAATAATTTAACCATTAAATCATAAGTAGTAGATGATATATTTTTAATTTATTTTATAATATGTAATTTGTCTGAAACTAGAATAATCGATTCTGATATTTTAAAATAAGGAATTGGAACCGAATTATCCAGGGTCAATTTCTGCTTTGTTTAGAATCGAATATTTGTAAATTTTTTTCTTACTTGTTGTCCCTTTGAAAGGATTATTTGTGTTGCCTGGATTTATTTTGGGATAGAATTAGTTGAGAGTTTTCAACTATACTTTAACTAGGATAGAGTTATGGTTAACCAAACTCCTCCAATTTTAGTACAACTAGAATCAGCAAACATATGTATGCACATTAATGTGTGTGTGTATATATATATATATATATGTGAGAAAATGGCAAAACGAGCCAATCAGCTACAGAAAACATTCATTGAGTCGATGATTCATAGAATCATTGTTGTGCACCATGCAAGAGTTGGACACTGAATTGGATGATTAATCATAGGAGAGACCTCGTCAAACACATTCTTGGTGATTCCCTTGTGAGCATGTTGGGTCAAGTGTAAGTACCTAATTGGACCATGAGTTATAATTATCAAAGCAAGAAGTTGGACCTGGTTTGATCGAGTCAAGATGGGTTCGATTTAGATTAGGTGCAGGACTCGGACCCACCTGAATTTTAATAGGGTCGGACGAAATCCCAGGCGTCACCCAACCTTCACGTTTAGACCCGTTGTTGGTTTATATATATATATGTGTTAAGGTACAATGGATTCGGAGATAGAAGAGAATAAAGTGACTCGAGTCCGTTGTCGTTGCGAAGAAGCAAGCCGAATCCATCTCCAACCTTGCCCCTTTCCATTCTTCCTCCCTTTCTCCCGAACCCTAACCCTAACCTTGACATCCTCGACCACGATCCCCCGACCTTAGCCCTAGATCGCTTCCGACCCCTCGCCACACTCCCGACTCCACTGCCACCGGATCTCCGACCGAGTGATGGCGGCGGCGGCGGCGAGGGCCGATGGCCAGGAGAAGGTCATTGCCGCAGCGAAGCACATCGTCAGCAGCCTTGCTACCTCGAAGAACGCTGCCGAGGACATGATCCGCATCCTCTCCGGCTTCGACAACCGCCTCTCCACCATCAACGACCTCTTCCCTGCCTCCTCCTCGTCCGCTAGAGGAGGCGACGGCGAAGGCGACGGCGTCGACGTCGACCGGTCCGAGGCTGAGCTGCGCCTTGAGGTAGCCCAGAAGGTCGTTCTCCGCTGGGACGCCTCCGATTCCCTCCTCTGGGAGTCTTCCCCCGAGGAGGCCGAGGAGTACCTCGCCGCCGTCGATGATCTCATCTTCCTCGCCGACCCTGGCACCTCCCCGAGCGCCGCCGCGGCTGCGGAAGACCTAGTTAGTCGTGCGGAGGTTGCGCTTCAGATGGCAATGTCCCGTCTTGAGGAGGAGTTTCGCCACCTGATGGTCCGCAATGCAGTCCCCCTTGACTCCAACGGGCTCTGCTCCTCCATTCGCCGCCTCTCCCTTTCCTTTGCATCTGATGGCGGTGAGACTATGGAGGACTTTGAGAGCTCCATTGATGACGAACACCAGCTGCAGCTTCCGCCGCAACAGCAAGAGGGCAGTCCTGAGGATAGGTCCGGAAGCAGTCTGATAGACGATCGGAGTTTAGATCTGATCCATCCCGAAGTCATCGCTGATCTGAAGGCCATCGCAGACAAAATGATCTGGGCCAAGTATGATCGAGAGCTCCACCATGTTTACTGCACTGTCCGACGGGACATCCTTGATGAGTGCCTCTCCATCCTCGGCATCGATCGAATGAGCATTGAGGAGGTACAGAGAACTGAGTGGCGGATGCTTGATGACAAGCTTAAGAAGTGGATTCAGGCTATGAAGATCGTTGTTCGGGCTCTGCTCTGGGGAGAGAGACGGCTCTGTGACCAAATTCTTGCTGCCTCAGAGGAGCTTAGGGACGAGTGCTTTTCAGAGACCACCAAAGGGTGTGTCATGCAGCTACTCAACTTTGGGGATGCCATTGCGATATGTCAGCGGTCTTCAGAGAAGCTCTTTCGTATTCTGGATATGTATGAGGCCCTCGCAGATGTTTTGCCAGATCTCCAGGCCTTATATGCCGGAGACCCAAAGGACCTCCTATGTGAAGAGGCTGAGGGGATTCTGAAGAGGTTAGGTGATGCTGTAAAAGGCACTCTTACGGAGTTTGGAAATGCAATCCAGAAGGAGCCATCGCGGAAGCCAACACAGGGAGGTGAGATCCATCCCATGACACGTTATGTGATGAACTATGTGAAATTGCTGGTGGTTTACAATGATACATTAAATTTGCTTTTGGATGATGGAGTGTGTGGTAGTGATCAGTCTCATTCTGAAGGTTGTGAGAATAGGAATACCAACGGAGAGAATTTGGAGAGTATGACTCCACTAGGTCGTCGCATGCTTTTGATAATCTCACATTTAGAAACTAACCTGGATGAAAAATCTAAAGTTTATGAAGATGGAGCAATGCGGTATATATTTTTGATGAACAATATACTCTACATAGTTAATAAAGTGAAGGATTCAGAACTTGGGAAGCTTTTGGGAGATGACTGGATAAGGAAGCACCGCAGCCAAATTCGGCAGTATGCCACAAGCTACCTGAGGACTTCCTGGACAAAAGTGTTGTCTTGTCTGAAGGATGATGGATATGGGAGTGGGAGCTCCAGTAGCGTTTCAAAGGTTGCTCTCAAGGAAAAGTTCAAGAACTTTAACTTGGCATTTGAAGAAATTTATAGGGTTCAGACAACTTGGAAGGTTCCAGATCCTCAGCTCCGAGAAGAATTGCGGATTTCTATTTCAGAGAAGGTTATCCCAGCTTATCGCTCTTTTATGGGGAGGTTTGGTAGTCAACTTGAGGGTGGAAGACATGCAACAAAATATATAAAGTACATGCCAGATGATTTAGAGTACCATCTTTCAGATTTGTTCGAAGGCTTGCCTGGACTCACTCCGAGAAAAAAAGCTTAGTCCGTGGAAGGGCGCAGGTATGATCTGAATCTCATTAGTGGTCCCTTTATGCAGAGTTCAGATATATTGCTGAATGTGAACTTGCAATGACCCTTTGCAGAACTTGTATTGGTTATACATAGTAACAATTATCATATATAGATGTCGTAATAACTCAATGTGTTGTTATAATAATGTATAGGTCTAGTGGGTGTGAATTACTGGTGTCTTCTTAGATTTTTAATATGTTGTCAAACAAGTGAATGTTGATTGGATCTGTTTGAATTACTATAGCTCTTTAAACGTTTGATGGGTTTTGATGAACTAGCCCTGCTGCTTCTGTTTAGGTGCCTTTGCTTTTTATATACCATTATTTGTGCAAAGCTACTAAATGTATTCTTGCAATTTGCTTGATGAAATTCAACCAAAAGCATAATTAGGTGCTCTAATGAGTATTCTATTCCATGTCTCTTTTTCAACAAAAGAATTAGTGCATGTTTCATTTCTTTGCACATGGAGCCCTGTGTTTGTTTGGTTAAATCTCCATACAGTCCTTGGTTGCTCATAATCTATTACATGATATATTGTGTCATAGTTATCAGTTAATTGATGGTGTGAGTTGATCTTTGACTTTTTTCATTCACAATTGAAACATTTGCTGCGCAATCTACTAGTTAATTGATGGTGGGAGTTGATCTTTGATTAACTTCTCTAGATGTTTATTTTTCTGGTTGTAGATACATGATGCTTTTGAACTTAGTGTTTCTCTCTTTTTTCGTCCTATGATATGATCCATGGGGCTAATATAGATGGCTATATCATCCATTTACAAGGCTTCATCTCTACAAAGCCTTTTTTCCCTTATTTTTCAATCTTTTCTTGTACTTCAAGTTTATTTCATCTATCACCATTCTTTAGGATGTCTTTCAAGATCAGCATATTTGCCTTGTATTTAAATCCAATCTGTAGCTGGAAGTATTGAATTAGAGGATGAGTTGCCTCACGTTGTTGCTTTAACTATCAAGGGATTCTTTGCTGTTGTATATATATTCATTGCTGATCTGCTGTCTATTTGAGCAGCTATGCAGACAAAGAAATAGTATATATATTAGAGACGTGTAAGTAGGAGGAAGATTAGAAAAAGAAGAGGTGAATGTTTTTAAAAGCTAACTTTTACTTCCATGTTTTTAATGCCAATTTTGATTGTCAGCCTGATGTGCTGAGACTGATCTGTCCTGGTCTAATTTAAAAAAAGGGTCGTGATTGAATGTTGAGTTTGAGCATTTAGCTTGACGTGATCTCCCAACTTGAATTTTTCCTGATACGTAAGATTGAGATTTGAGTTTTTGATGTGGATTATCCCTAGGTCATGGGTTACCGCGAAACTAATGAGGCCCTTGCAACACTTGAGACAGTAGCTAGGACTAACCTAATGGGGGGAAAAATTAGTATTTAATGTGGGGGAGAGTGTGCCTGTGTCACCTGGAGAGGTCCCTTCTTGCAGTGCCACAGCCCTAACCATATAGATTATGGAAGACTTATTGTATCAGGCTTGATTCGAAGAATATTCCTAGCAGGATTTGGTGCCAGTGGAGAAAATGTCGGTAGCCTGTTTTGCTGAATTATTTGCTAAGATCTACACTAACAAAGATCCGAGGCATCATTTTTTAAATTAAAGGAAAATATCAAACAGTAAATGCCTAGGATATCTTTGAACTAGATAACTCTTTTCTGTCCTAATAATCAGTAAAGATCTATATGATCTTTGATTTCTTGAAAGAAACTTTTGAATTGAACATAAAAGATTATTATTTGAATCTGATGAGCTTGTATTCATATTCCTTGTTATTTGTCTGTATATCAACGAAATATTTTTTCCATTATGTTTTGTTTTTGATCCAGGTATTTAGTATGTTTAAATTAAAAATGCAAAACCTGAACAATAAGCGATTGAAACTGCCAACATTCTAGAAATGTTTTGACTATCAGTCGAATCAGAAGCTGAAACAGGAAGTTCAGACTTTAGTTTTGGTGAACTATGGCTCTAGAAGTTTGGTTGTAGAATGAAGACATTATATCTGATAGAAAAGAGACTCATAAGATAACAACAGAGTCGTAAGGACTAAAGATGATTGTCATTCGTCTATAATATTAAGTTCTGAAATATGCAATTGGGAGCATCATGTTCGAGGACATTGTATATGTTGTGTTTCATCATGTTAATGGAGTTGGGTCAAATTTATTGGAAAGTGAAGGATACTTAGTTCTCTTGAGTGGCTCTTTCTGTAACACTCCTGGAATCTATATTATCTTGGGATGGAAAGCAATGTGCTAACACAGATTTGAGAGTTCGTTAACTGAGTGACTCTTGGAGAAGATTCTTCTTGTCTTATTTTGAGGCTGGATCTAAAGTTTTACTACTGGAACTGTGAAGTTGTGTGTAGAAATAAATAAAGATGGCTAGTGGAGCTGAAGTCTGAATTATACCTTATCATCGCAGTGTGAAATTATGGATCAGGATTTAGTATTTGGTGTTTTGAACACAGTGTTAAACGACGGGTCCCATTCTATATGGGAAGTCTGTTTGATGTATGTATTTATCCTTGATTCTCAAGTTTGAGGGAACAACTTTTACCGCAAAATTGATGTTATTTGTTGTTGCTAAGAATAGATGACCCTTTTGGAACTTGTTATGAATAGTTGATTTAAATATTTAGATGATGCATAAGACAAACTACAGAAGAATTTGTTATTATATTGCAGAAAAACGAATTAACCTGCTCTTTCTCGTTTAGCTCATTTGCTGATTTGTTCTTTTCATTATTCTCGGTGCTCTAGTGGTATGATCTTGTCATTTATCCTTGTGTATTTGATTATTTGGCTATAGATGGTGTCATAATAATATAGCTAAAAACATATTATCGTCTGATTTGTGCTCCAAGATAATTATTTAACTTAATCGACTGTTAAATTTTCTCTCATGGATAAACTGGATTGTTGTTTCACAAAAAAGTAGTTTGATGTGCAAAAGTTAATTTTAACGTATATAATTGACTGTGACGTGACAAATGGTTCTTCCAACTTTCTGAGCACATTCATTGGTTTCCAAGTCTTGAAGAGACTCTAATTGGTACACAGGTGCTGTTAGGTGCTCAAAAGACTTCCAGGCATCTGATTTAGTTCATTTTCTGCACTTAATTTTCCATTACAACTTGTTAAACCTTCTTCATAAGATGCATATGGTTTACTCTGTTTCCGGCACACCATGTTACGATGGGGGCTTCTAAAGTAACGGTGTTATTTAGTGGAGGAGGCTTGGATGTATACAAGTATTATTTTAATCTATTTATTCATTAAAATGTTGCAAGAATATTCCAAGTACAAGCGAAACAACTAAATCCGGTTTCACTATGAAAAATAACATGAAAGCGCATTGAATGTAGTCTTGGTTGGATATGGAGAAACTGTTTTAGATAAGTTGGCACTTCCACAATTAAGATGGATATGGAAATTGGATACACGGCACAGTCAATTAAAGATCATCGATCGATACTATCGGGTCCAACTTCGCCTCTGTGCAGGTGGGTGCCAGTTGCATGAAACAGTCCATAAATGGATTTTATTTTTATTATTTTTCAGTAAAAAGGTGTCGAGAACCAGCTAAATTTCCTTTTAAGGGTCTTCCTAGATAGCTTCTGAAATAAAATAGAGCTATAATACCAATAAGAGTGGAAGGCTCATCATATGGATGATCATCCATCAGCATTCATTTATATGAATGGGAGTGTTACAATAATAATAAAAAAAGAACATAATCATCAAGGATTAATCCTCGGAAAGATGAAACAACATATGCATACTTTGACCAATGACAGCATGGGATCAATCAGACGCATAAGAGGATGGCTACCTTACTTTGCTTTCTTATACCGTGAAGAATCAAACATGAAATATTCTCTTATCAACCTCCTCTCATTGCAATTTTTTTTTTGTTATAGAAAAAGTATAAAGGTATCATAGGATTCTTTTACAGTAAGGTATCATAGGATTCTTTTGAGAGGCAACTTTCCTTTGTCCTCGTATTTCTAACAGCGTAAGTTGTCTTAGTCGTCACGCTAACAACAGCTCCAGCTCAAATAGATAGAATCAATGGATTAATATTCTAATCAACCATATAATTTATTTAAATTAATATCATGATCAAACAGGAATAAAAAGCTACTTTTATGAATTAAAAGTGTAACAATCCTTTGCTGTATAATAATTTAATAAATTCATTGTATTATCACATAATATCATCTTATGAATTGATTTTGAATGTCTGTATCTAAAAAGATTAATAATAATTTAGTGAAGTATATACTAATGTGTTTTGTATTATATTAAGTGTCATGCAATTGATGGACTGAATTATGGGATTATTATCTCATCTTTTGCCTTTACTTACAATGTCATAATTTCAATTATCTTTTTTTTATTTATGTCGTGTCTTATATTTTATTCATTTATTTATTTTTTTGCATTATCATACAATAAAAAAGAATTATGATAAAATAATAAAAATAAAAACTATAGATATTATTGATAGTTTATAGAAAAATCAATCATTAATAAAGAATTCATTATAAAAAAAGGATGATAGATATGCTTGATCATAATATATATAAGTAAATAAACAAATAAATCTTAAAGAAATTAACTCATTAATAAAAAAAAATATTGATGTTGTTCTCTTTGCTTTATTATGAAGATTGTATGGCCGTTATATTCATTTGCTCATCGCAAAATTCTTCATATTAAATTTACTTATTTATTTATTATTTTAAATGATTGAAACAAATTATACAAATGTATTATGAATGTGTTAGAATAATATTGTGTTATAATGGTGATTATACTCCCATAAATCACTTACAAATACTGAAACATAAAATAGAGATATACATTTGATCAATTTCTTTCTTTTATTGATTATAATTAAAAATAAGTTAATAAACTCACAAAAAAATAATATTATAAATGATTGTCTATCATTGTTATGGATAAATAGCTCATTAATAAAGTTTTGATAATTATATAGCTATTCAAAAAATGATCTTTTTTTATCATCATAATATTAGTAATTGAATTTCTTTGGGTTATTTGTATAAAGGTGTTTGTCTTATTATTTATCAAGATTAAAAGAAATTTATTTTAGTCAATTTGATTTTGCCTTAAAACATGTTGATTATTTATAGACACTATGAATAGGATCAAATAATATTATCATTATACTTTCATAAATCACTTTAAAGTGAAAAGATAGGTAACAAAACTA